ATTTATAAAAAAAAAAAAGAATTCCATCCACGTGGGGGCTCTGCCCTCCAAACCGGGCCAGTGACTCCTTCCCAGGGCACTGGGCTGCCTGATGGCTGCTTCCAAGCAGCCAGCTTGCTGGCACCATTTCTCAGATGGGGAAGACTGAGGGTCTGTGTGTTGCTGAGAGAGAGTCCCACAGCGAGGGTGGAACTCAGAGCTTCTTTCTCTCAGGACCGCTGCATGCTCCCCACATCTCCCCCTACTCCCCTCCACCCCAGGGACAAGTGTTTCCCGACCATCTCTCCTTGGGGGTTTCCACGGTCTCCACCAGATTTCTGACTAGCTCTTCCTGCTTTCATAATATGAAGGAGGAGGCGGCCAGGGAAGGGAACCACGGAGACTCATTTACTCAGCACTTGTGAGCTCTGTGTGACTCACTCCGAGTTTCATTGCGATTCCCTCTTGCAGTTCCCTCCTCCTGGCAGGCTGGGCGGCCCTCGGAGTGCTCAGGACTGTCCTGGGCCCTCAGGAGACCCTGCATTGTCCTGAGCAGTGATCCCCAGAAGCAGGAGCTCAGGGGCATCCAGGCCTCGCATATGGACACCTCCGGCCAGCAGGAAGCAGGGGTGGTAGCCCCGGATGGCATCATCTCTCCCCGCTCAGCAAGCCCAGAGCCAGGAGGCCCCAGGGCCAGGCTCATGGACCAGGCCAGGAAAGGCTGTTGCCAGAGCTGGTATGGACAGTGGCCACCTGCCCCTCCACCCAGGCCCAGAAAGGGGCAAGCGTCTGCCGTGCTCGCACAGCTCATCTCCCACCATGGGTGGAGATGGGGCTGTGACTGGAATCCTGACTCCTGTGCCCAGAGCCAGTTTCCCTTCACCCTGACCTGCTGAACACCTGTAGCCCGCGTGGTTGGTCCCTGCCAGGGGGCAGCATGGCAGGGCCTGGCCCCAGCTCAGGGCGGGAGGTTCCATTACAGTTCTCGGGGAGGTCAGAGGGGCTGGTAAGAGTCAGCTGGTCCAGGATGGCTTGGGGAGGGGAGCATCGCAATGGGCACAACCTTCTGGGACCACTAGAAAGGAGCCCTCATCCTGGCACCACTACTTATCGCCTGGGTGAGTGACTTAACCCGTGTGTGCCCCAGTCTCCTCGCCTGGAAAATGGGGTAAAGGAGTCAATGTGAAGACACGAGTTTTAGGACACAGCCTGACTTGCTGTGTTTCATAAATGTTAGGTACTCTTACCATTTTCATTGTCATCACATTCCCTCCCCCAAGACAGGGGATCAGCCGCACCGGGGCCTGGAGGCCTAAGGCCAGCTCCGGGGACAGTTAAGCCGTCCTGTGCCTGGCGCTGGGCGGGCCCACAGCCTGAGCCCAGCACTGCCGGCCCTGGCAGCCCATCAGGCGTGGTGGCCCCAGGTGGGGGCCGACTTGGCTGGATAGACTGGGCAGCCGGGCTGCTTTGGACACACAGGGCCCCTGCCAGGGGCAGGTGCAGGCTCGGCTTGTCACATGAACTGGAGACTTCTTGGGCTGGCCCAGGCCTGGTGGGGATGGGCTACGTCCCAATATGTGTGTGGCCAGAGTGGATGGGCATGTGATTTCTCAGTTCTCCTTCATCAGAGCCACTTCCATTTTTCTTGTTTGTCCCTTTGCTCTTTCAACTCCCTGGACTATTTTCAACACCCTGAGGGGCCCAGGCTGGGGTGGGTAATGGTGGCAGTGGTCCTATTGGCTGAGGGGTCCCTGCGGGCCAGGCTGACGCAGAAGCCCTCTCGTGGGCTGACCAGGAAGAGTCACGTGCTCCCCGCTTTTCACATGAGAGGACCGAGCCTTCTGGAGGATGGCGTCCCACCGAGAGTCACACAGCTTGAGGGGTCGGGCCACGTTGCCGCCCTGAGTTTCCCCGGCTGGCGTGGGTGGCCTTGCCTTGGGAGCTCTCCTGAACTTGCATGGGCCAAGGCCAAGTCTTCCCAGCTGGCTCCAGGCCTCAACTTATCGTGTGTCCTCAGCCAGGAGCCCCTTCCTGGGCCTTGGTCCCTTGGCTGCAGAGATCCTGTTGGCCCTGCACTGGTGGAGATCGTTGTGGTTTGGACAGTCTCTGGATCCCACAACTCCACCCACTCTCAGTGACCCCTGACAGGTGCCTGGCAGGGAGGCCCCCTTCCTGTCCTTTGTCACCTTCCAAACTGTCGTCCGGACCTGGAGCACTATTTAAAGAGCTGTCGCCGCGCTCCCGCAGCCCTGCTGCAGCGCGAGGGAGCCATCCAGACCATGGTAGGCTGGTGCTGCCCCGTCTCCTGACCTTGACCTCATCCTGTGACCTTGACTGCATTTGTGATTCTGACCTTGACCTCATTGCCTGAACTCACCCTGACCTTGACCTTGACCTGATGTTGTGCCTGTCCTGACCTTTTCTTCACCCTTGATGTCATCCCTGCACCCGGCCAGTCCACCCTTGTGGGTCCTGATTTGGTTCTCTGCCTTCCTGGACTCGATGGGGGCTGCTGAGGTGAAAGCTGGGGTGGGGGGTGAGGAAGAGGAGGGTGGAGGGGGACAGGGTGGGCCAGGCTTGGAGGTTTCAGGGAAAAGTGGGCCTCTGATCTCACTAAGAGAATATGTTTCCTATGGGGGTCGGGGTCACTATTCCAGGACAGCCTGGGTCCTACGGAGCATGGCAGGGGGCTGCTGGCCTTGCTACGGGGTCCTTCAGGCCATGTGGGGCCTGCCCTGCCACCTTCCCCTTGCCCCTGTGCTCCAGCCCCTCGGGTCTCCCTGTAGGCTCTCAGTGGTGCCGTTCTTTCATGCCCCTGTCTCACTCACCCTCATCAGTCCCTCCTGGCCTGAGAACTCTGTCAAGCCTCAGCTCCGAAGCCACCTCCTCCAGGAGGTCTGCCCTGAGTACTCCTCTGTGTTCTCAGTGTCTTCCCCCCCGCGTCCATCACCCTCTAGTGATTGTCTGTCTCCCAGCTGGACTGTGGGCTCCTTGGGGACAAGGACCAGGCCTGATTCAGCTCTAGGTCCCTGGGATTGGGCACAGGGCCTGGCTGGAGGTACCTAATACATGTCCGGATGCTTTGAGGTTTTATAAATGAGGCTCAGGGCAGAAAACTGATTTTCCTAACATCACAGAGGCTGTGAGTAGCAAAGCCAGGATTAGAACTCAGGTCTGGGTGACCCCTTCTGCCCTGAGATGTTCCCTTCAGCGGATTTTTATTTTTTAGAGGCACATTATAAAAGGGAATTTCCAAGACAGCTGGGCTGGAAAGGGTCCTGGCTAGGAGATCAGAAGCCCGGTCAGGGCCCTGGGCCTCAGGTTTGCCTGTGCAGTAGGAGAAAACAACCCCTTCCTTCCTTGCAAGGTTCTAGAACAGGGTCTGTCACACAGTAGGGTGACGTTTCCCCCAGATGGACTTGAAAGCCTGGGGCGAGACAGGGATGGGGGATGCCGTGGCCGAGGGCAGGTCTGAGGAGAGAAAGGGCAGCATATCCCACAGACGGAAGTGACTGCTTTTTATTAACCAGAAGGAAATGTATATGTAATTATGTGAGATGAATTCCACAGGGAGGTTCTTTTCTTTATGATGTCTGAAGGGATTTATAAATATTACAGGGGTTTTACAGCATCATAACATCCTGGCCGCCCTGCCAGCCCCCTTTCAAAGGATTAGTGGAGACAAAGGACCCAGTAAAAGCTAATTATAAGTCAGCCGGGCACTGGGGCTCCTGAAGTGAGCCCAGGAACCCAGGGGAGTTGGGGGCAAGTGAGGGGATGGGGACATTGGGCGAGCGGACAGGAGTGAGCCAGGGGGAGGGGAGACCACAGAGGCACTGGGGGCGGGCGCGGGGGTGCCAGGGAAGCCCGGGCTCTGGGGTGGGGTGGACGGGGCTGGGCACAGAGGGTGGAAGGGGCTGAGATGGAGGCCCGAGCTGGGTGTGGGGACGCCCACGTCTGTGGAGGGTCCCCTTCCACCTCCTCCTTTGTGAAGTCCCGCCTGTCCTTTCCCCCCCATCACAAGCCAAGTCTGGGCCTCCTTGCACATGGGGACCTTAGTGACGGCTGCTGAGAGAAAGGTCCCTTGGAGGGGTTTGGGAACAGAGAGCTTTCAGCAAATGCCCAGTAGTGGACGACTCTCGGGCACCATGACATCTGGAAAGAAACACACGGAGGCAGGAAGTCTGGCCAGAGACCCTCCACGTGGGTGGTCACCTGCTCTGCCTGCTGCCCTGAGATACGCCCTGAGCTCTGGGCAGCCATTTCCAAACCAATCCAGATCGGAGCCAGGCCCTGGGTGGGGGAGGGGAGCCCAGCGGTGGGACAGACACAGGGAGATATGGCAGGACAGTGTGCTACGTGCTACGGGGTGTGGAAGCCCAAGACTGGTGGGGAGGGACAGAGGGGGTGGGGGAGCTCTAAGTTGGCCTTGGGAGGGGTTAGCCAGGGAAGGCTTCTCAGAGGAGGAGGCGGGGGAATTAAGCCTGAAGGATGAGGATTCATCCCGATGGAAGGCAGGGAAGGTGTCCCAGGTAGTGGGAGCAAATGTTGGGAGAGAAGGAAGCTCAAAGCAAGTGGGGGGGACCCAGGTTGCCGGGGGAGGATGCTCTGGGAGACGGACAAGGAGCAGACCTCTCAGGGCTAAGGGATCTGGGTGTTACCCTGAACACCGGGGAGGGTGGCAGGAGAGGAGGGCCCCCACATGGTGGCTGGTGCTAGAAAAGACGCCCCTCTCTGCTCCGCATCCTGGGCACTGACCTCCTGCATTCTGGAGTCAGGGGCCTGTCGGGGAAGCAGCAGGTAGCTCCGCGGGGTAGCCGCTCTGTTGGCTTCTTGCTGGGAAGAAGAAGCAGGGAAACGCCCTGCTTCTCTGCCAGGCTTCTTGAGAAGCCTGGTCTGTCTGCTGGGGTCCATGGGGGTGGGCAGTGTCATTCAGGAGATGAGCCCTGAGGGTTGAGTGGGGTGAATGGGGGACCTTCCCAGGAAGGGACTTCTGTAAGGCGTCCCCTGGAACCTCACAGGCACCCAGGAGAGCCCGGAAAAGAGCAGAAGGCGGAGCCAGCTCCAACGTCTTCTCCATGTTCGATCAGTCCCAGATCCAGGAGTTTAAAGAGGTTGGTCAACCGCCCCCAGGGCCATTGGGAGGGTTACAGGAATGCACGGAAAGCCCTTAGGGAGCCGGCAAGGTGTCGGCTCAGCCCTCAGTCCCTGGGGGGTGATGACATCACTATCCTTAGAGGCTGCCATGCTATAGCTTAGACTCTGGAGAGGTGACGAGCTGTCCTTGGGCAGCCTCTACCCCGTCTCTCCCTGAGCCTTTGCTTGCTGTGTGACCTAGGGCAAGCCCTTCCTCTCTCCGAGCCTCAGTTTCACTCTCCGTAAAATGGGGTTGCTGGGAGCATGATATGAGGGATGGGCACGAAGCCCCAGCGCGTGCTGGCACACAGTAGGAGCCCAGGGCAGGTTAACCATCACTCATGCTGGTATCATGCTGAGCTGGGTGACCGGGTGGCCAGAGGGCCTGTACTGAGGTTGCCCAGGCAACAGTGGTTGGGAGGACAGCCCCTTGCAGGGAGGGGGGATCTCTCTGGGGAGGGGCCTGGGCTTGGGCAGGTGGGCGGGTGGCTGCTCAGTGCCCGTGTCTCTGCCAGGCTTTCACCATCATGGACCAGAACCGGGATGGCTTCATCGACAAGGAGGACCTGAGGGACACCTTTGCTGCCCTGGGTGGGTGACCAGCAGCCGGAGGCTTGGGGATTGGGGGCAATCCGAGCCCTGGCCATCCAGAAAGAGTCAGCAGCTGGGGGCAGGCCAGGGCGGTTGGCACAGGGGATGTGAGGGGCTGGTGTTCTCTGGGGGTGCCGAGGAGGGGCGGCCACCGCCTGGCAGGTCAGGGGAGATCCCGGGTGTTAGAGGAGGACTGACCAGGGGAGGGAGGGGGGCAGCAGAGCAGGGGGAGACACAGGTGGTGGGGAAGAGGGGCAGTAGTGGCCCGTGCAAAGGCTGGGAGGGGGAGGGGGAGGGGTCAGCAGAGCAGGGGGAGACGCAGTGGGTGGGGAAGAGGCTGGAGATATCCAGGGGTGGGACTCGGGTTACTGGGCGGTCTTCAGCTGCCAGCGAGGCTTTTGCCTTCTCTGAGGGCCCAGGGATGGGCCTGAAGCCTGGATGGGGGCACTGGAGTTGGGGGACAGGGGCGTAACCAACTCACTTCCAGACTGAGCCTTAAGCTCCCAGAGATCTGCTTGTCCACTGGGACTGTGAGGAACCCGGGTCCCCGTCTCCAGGCAGCCAGTGCATCCCTCCCGGGGCACCTGAGCCCTGAGGCCCAGGTCTTCCACCCCTGTGTGCCTCAGCTTCAGCTTCTTTGGGTCTCAGTTTCCTCATCTGTAACATGGGGATAACCACCAACTTGCTCTCCTTTCCAGGGAGGCTGAGGTGGTGGCAGGCGGGTGGTGAGGCTGGGGGCAGCCCAGTGCTGACCACAGCTGAATGTGCCTCCATCCCGAGGTCCCCCAGCAGGTGGGCAGGGTCTTAGGGCTGAGTAGGGGGCAGGTGAGATGGTAGGGCTGGGGGATTCTGCAGGATGCTCCGTGGTCCCAAGCTCTGCTCTCTGGGGCTGCCTGCAGGCAGGGTCCCCTCTGACCCTCCTTGTACTCCTGGGTGTCTCCCCTAGGCCGCATCAATGTAAAGAACGAGGAGCTGGAGGCCATGGTGAAGGAGGCCCCCGGGCCCATCAACTTCACCGTCTTCCTGACCATGTTTGGGGAGAAGCTGAAGGGTGAGTGAGGGCCCAGGGGGCCCTGGGGAGGGGATGGGCGAGTGGGTGTGGGTAGGCAGGGCCTGTGTGCTGACGTACCCTGCACCGATGCACGCCACAGCTAGGAACATGATGCAGCCCCAGACACCAGCCCCCGGGGCACACACACAAGACCCTGCCTCAGTTTCCACCTCTATATCACAGAGTGGGGTGAATGTAATGACCCCCAGTTTGCAGGGCTGTGTGGCGCCCAGCGGGACAGTTTGCGAGAAAGCCCTTTGCCCACCGTCAGGATGGTGCCCCAGCCCCAGCCCCACCTTCCTAGCCCTGGGCTCATCTTGCCTGTTCTGCCTTACCACCCGCTGCTGACAGGAGAAGGTGGTATGGGGGAGGGGCGTTCTGGAAGCTTCTGTGGCCAACCCCAGTACAGGATGGGCTTCTCCTCCAGGGAAAGGATCAGGGGCCTCATTCGTGAGTGAGGAGACCCAGGCTCAGACGGGTCACCACACCTGCTCCAGGTGTCCCAGCATCGAAGTGGCAGGGATGGAACTGTAACCCCGACTCTGGCTCTAACCACTGCACTCCCCTGAGATGCAGCATCAGGCCGGGCTGGGGTTCTGTGGTCAGAAGGAAGGGCCAGCCTGGGCTGCGGCTGCCCTTGCGGGGTGGGGCTCATTGTCATCCCATGCTCAGGCAGCCCCTGCCTGATACCCTCCCCTGGCGCTTCGGCTACAACTGGGCTTAAGACCTGGTCTCACACTGACCCCCAGGGTGACCTTGGGTGAGGCTTATCGGCTCTTTGCACCTCAGTTTTTCTGTCTGTAAAATGGGGGTTGTGTTAGTTTCCCGAGGCTGCTGTAACAGATGACCACGAACTTGATGGCTCAAAAAACCAGCAATGGGGCTTCCCTGGTGGCGCAGTGGTTGAGAGTCCGCCTGCCGATGCAGGGCACATGGGTTCGTGCCCCGGTCCGGGAAGATCCCACATGCCGCGGAGCGGCTGGGCCCATGAGCCATGGCCGCTGAGCCTGCGCGTCTGGAGCCTGTGCTGCGCAACGGGAGAGGCCACAGCAGTGAGAGGCCCGCGTACCGCAAACAAAACAAAACAAAACAAAAAAACCCCAGCAATGTATTCTCTCAGTTCTGGAATCCAGAAACCTGAAATCTGGCAGGTCGGGCTCCCTGCGAGGCTCCAGGGGAGAACCCGTTCTTGACCTTTTCTAGCTTCTGGTGGCTGCTTCGCTCCCATCTCTGCCTCTATGGTCATACTGCCCCCTCCTCTTCTGTCTCCCTCTGCCTCACTTTTGTAAGGACACTTGTTATTGGATTTAGGGCCCACCCGGATAAGCCAGGGTGATCAGTCCATCTCAAGAGCCTTTCCTTACATCTACAGAGGCCCTTTTGCCAAGTGACATTTCCAGGTCCTGGGGATGAGGACCTGGGTATATCTTTTGGGGGCCACCACTAAACCCACGACAGCCTGGTGTTGTCCAGCTGACAGAACAGTGCCCTCAGGCCCCCCTCTGGGAAGCTGTTAAGGGTTATTCCTGAGACCATGGCCACCTCCTTGAAGAGCGCAGAAGTCCAGGGGGCGGGGCAGGGGTACACTCACAGGCAAAGACATGCGTGACTCCAGCCATGGCTTTAAAGCAAGTCCTGGAGCTCGTGTCCGTCTGCAGCTGAGCTAAGAGCTCTGACCCAGGGCTGCAGCTTTTTCTCATTTTCGCAGCGGCTCCAGGGCTGGAGCTCCAGCTGAGCCTGTCATGTGAACTTGGCTGAGCCTGGGGTGGGGACAGGAGCCGGGGGGCTGGGCAGGCACCACCTCGTCCCTCTAATTGGGACAAGGACACTGTCATGAGGTTCCCAACAGCAGTGAGGGGAAGCAGTCTCTCTGCAGCCCATTTGATGAGGTTTGCAGTCTGCAGAGCAGAGGAGAGAAGGGAGGACCGGGTGTGGTAAATGTCCAGCCATGGGGCCTGAACCCAGGGCAGCTGGTCCACATGCAGCCAGTCCTGAGGAAAGCAGGCTGGAGCCAGGCTGCCCCGGCACGGAGGTCTCTCCAGAGACCCTGGGAGGCAGAGACTGCACAGCAGCTCCCCAGCCATAATCCCGTGGCCACCCCTTCTCCTCCTGCAAGGCCAGGCTGTGACGGGCCCTGGATGGAGCCTCTGGCCTGGGCACACTGGCTCCCTGCCACCCTACCTAGAGGAAGCCCACGGCTCTGCCTCTAGAAGCTCCCAGGCTGGCAAGGTCAGCACTGAGCCCGGCCCAGTCACTCAGGGCCAGTCTCAGAAATGTTGAGTCACTCAGATATCATTCTGTCCTGGATTATCCTGATGGTGGGGACACAGCTGGCCCTGACCCAGTCTGATGGGGGAGACACAGCTGGCCCTGACCCACTCTGATGGGGGAGACACAGATGACCCTGACCCGGTTTGATGGAGGAGACACAGCTGGCCCTGACCCAGTCTGATGGGGGAGACACAGATGACGCTGACCCAGTCTGATGGAGGAGACACAGATGACCCTGACCCAGTCTGATGTGGGGGACACAGCTGGCCCTGACCCAGTCTGATGGGGGAGACACAGATGACGCTGACCCAGTCTGATGTGGGGGACACAGCTGGCCCTGAGTAACAGGAGCACAGCCTGGCAGAACAAGAAGGGGGCTCTGGAGGTTCAAGGAGTTGGCTTCAAACCCTTCCTCCCCTTATAGCTGGAGACCTCAGGCAAGTAACAGAGCCTCTCTGAGCCTGAGTTTCCTCTTTGACAAACTGGCACATCAGGACCTACCACAAGGGGTGTGCTGGAGTCCCATGGGGTACAGTGCCGAAGCTGCAGGATGGACTTGGCACAGAGCGCTCAGATGTGTCTGCGGCCGTAATAATGTTGGTCAAGACCTTGCCCATTAAGGACCCTTTATCTTAACTGATCCTGGGAGGCGGGCAGCAAACCCCGCCCTTGTCTCCATTTCACCAATGACACAGCTGAGCCTTAAGAAGGAAGGGGACATCCCGTGGTTCCATAGTGAGAAGGGAGGTCAGTGTGACGGGGAGAAGAGCACCAGGTAAGGGTCACCAGGCCACCTGCTGTCATTCACACAGCCCCTGAGACCTTGGGTGAGACCCTTCCTCTCTCTGGGCTTCAGTTTCCCCATCTGTACCACCAGGGGGCTGGGTATTTAATCCCATTGTGTTAGTAGAACCATTTCTTCTAATGACATCTTTCCCCAAAGCCCACACCATAAAAGTGATAAAACCAGAACTGCTCTGGATATGCTCTGCCTCTCCTGTCCCCCCACCCTCATTCCCACAAACCTGTGGACCCACCTGCCCCGCCTCTGGCCTGGACAACCTCTCAGACTCCTCCAATGCCGCTGCCAGAGCCCCCACCTCCAGCCCCCAAGTAGAAGCTGTTTCTCCTCCATCCATCATCAAATCACATAGCATCAGTTGTGAGAACTTGGACAAGTCACTTAACCTCTCTGAGCCTCAGTTTGTTCATCTGTAAAATGGGACCAATGGGCAGGAGGGTTAAGCACATAGTAAATGCCTAGTAGGCCTTTCCAGGTGCATCAGTGCAGGCTGATTGTTACTATATGCAGAGCCCTTGGCTATTATACTGTTCCTTGTTTCTCTGAAACATCGCTTCTCTGGCCTCACTGTGGACTAGAAGCTGGGGAGGAAGCTCCCTGAGCCCTTGGCCTCTGTAGGGGCCATGGGACCTGCCCCAGCCCCAGCTGCTGCCTGGCCTCTTCATCCTGATGCTCCCCCTGCCTGTGTGTACTGCTTCTAGGTACGGACCCGGAGGAGACCATTCTCCACGCCTTCAATGTGTTCGACACTGAAGGGAAAGGTCTCGTCAAGGCTGATTTGTAAGTCTCCTCGGCCTTCTGTTTTGGTTTTTCTCTCCCCAAAGTCTCAGGTGATAGATGGACTGGGGTCGGGTCAGGGTGGGTCGCAGCCCAGTCTCCTGTCCTGCCTGGAACTCAGGCATCTCAGGCAGCTTCCAGCCAGGAGCCAGGAGGCCGCTGCCCTGCCCAGTTCAGCCATTACTAGATGTCCCTTCCCCTCTCTGGGCCTCGGTGTCCCCATCTGTGTGGATGTGTATGGGGAACATGGGATCCCCAGGCGAGGGCTTCCCAGTAGCGAGGGAGGAACGGGTGGGGGTAGAGGTGGGCCCTGAAGGATGACTAAGGATCCCCCTGGCTGGAGCACACAGAGGAAGGCAGGGCCTGTGTGGGCCCTGGACCTTGGGTCTGCCCTGGGGGCATGGGAGAGCCTAAGCAGCAGTGAGGCAGGGGCAACATGGAGGCCAGCCTGGAGGAAGAGAAGAGAGGCTTGCAGCCGCCACAAGGCTCTTGGCCATCGGGATGGAGGCGAGTGGATGGGTGAGTGAAATACAAGAGGCCAGCACCAATGGGATCCAGGGTGTTGGGAAGAGGACTGAGCCAGATGTTAGCCAGGGCCCAAGTGGATGTGGGGATGGAGGCATAGCCATGGGAAGGAACCAGCTCAGCTGGGGCCGCAGAGAGAGTGCGGTGGCCGTGGGCAGCTGTCCGGCCTCCACTGGGCTGGCATCACTGAAGGAGGGAGCGCTAATACCTGCTATGCCTGGGAGCCTCAGCCCAGGGAGAGCACAGGGCAGACGGCCAAGACTTCGGGCCGGGGCGGGCTGGGCGAGGCAGCCTGTCCAGGGGCTGAGACACTGAGTGTTCTGAGCCAACCCCTGAGCTGTCCCTTCAGGGCCTCCAAGGCCTCCCTGGGCCTGTGGGTGACCCTGGGCAGGCAAGATTTCTTCCTTAGTCACAGGCTTCGCGACCAATTACTGGGATGCTTGAGGCCTCGGCTGGAGGCTAATTTTGCTTTCTATTCAACATTAGCATAGCACGTGATGGAGGTGGGGTGGGAGAGGGCGGGGGGGGGGCAGGGAGGAAGTGGCGAGGGTCTATCTTGTCTCTCAGACATTCTTACAGCCCCTCACCCCCCAGAGTTTTGAGTCACACTCTCCTCAGGGGTCGGGCAGGGGTTCCTGAGGTTCCCGAGGGTTTCTTCAGGCTGCAGCCCTCTCCTTCAGCCCTCCCTCAGAGTCTGGGTTCCCACCCCCATCTTGGAGACCTAGGGAGGCACTGGGGGAACCCCCCGGGGTGACCCGAACCCACCCCTCTACTGCCACCTACCTTCCCTCCCACTAGAGCAAAGTCAGGGCTGGGAGGAACCCTTTGGAGACCAAGTTTGGGAACCGCAGGCGCCATCCCCAGGCTATGGGATCTGAAAGACATGGCTGCCTGCCAGGCCGGCCACAGAGGAGGCTCTGGTTGAAAGAGAGTCTGTGAAAAATCCCCAGCGTGGAGGGTTGGAAACTGTGACTGTCCTGTAGTAACATAAATAGTGGAAAATGTGCGTTGGTCTGGAGCAGGGCGGCGGCTGCCGGCGCCACAGGGCACACGGGTACTTAGGGCCCTGTTCAGCCCTCTGGTCCCACTCCTGCCCTCTGCACCCCCTGAGAGCTCCTGGGGGCACCAATCCCTCCCCCACAGCCTCAAATGCCCCACCTCTGGCCATCCCTCCAGGCCCCGGCCAGCTCTGGCCGCTGTGGGCAGCTGCTCCTCTGGACCACGCAGGGGGACAGGCCCCACCCTGCCGCTGCACATCAGTACCCCTCCCGAGCCTCAGTTTCCCTCTCTGTAAAAGGGGGATAATAGTACTCACTTCCCAGGGCTGCGAGGAGCAAAGGAGACCTGGGCAGGCGCAGGAGGACGCGGACCTGGGTAGCCTTCCTGCCCTTTGGCTGAGTGCAAGCACCTTGCATGCTCCGAAACACCTTACAGATGTCCACAAAACTCATAAGCTGAAGAGGCGGTGCGTCTAGAACCAGGGCAAAGAGGCTCCCCTCAGTGACCTAGAGGCTGATTATCAGTGCACGATGGGACATCAGAGTGGCCCCCACAGTCATGTCGGGGTCCCAAGGCCATTTCATTGGGTCCCCACCTGATGTGAAGAGGGGAGTCCACGTTACAACGGAGGCTGAGAGCTGAAGTGGCCGCCGGAGGCCACACAGACATCTGGGGGCTGTAGGGCCAGCCCTGGTTGGGGTCCTCCTGGGCCATCAGCCCCAGGGTCTGCGTGTCCACATCCAGAGTGGCCCTTACCCTGAATGTGACCCTTTCTCTCCCTTGAACAGCATCAAAGAGAAGCTCATGACGCAGGCAGACCGCTTCAGTGAGGACGAGGTGAGCGCCGGCTTTTCAGGTCCTTGCTCAGCACTGACGAGCATCTGTCCTGGGAAGCGCTCTTTCTTTAGTGATCTGCTGAGATGATGCCCCCTTGACTCCTAGGATGGGAACAAGGGTGGTGGGATCCTGGCCTGCTGGCCTGGCCTCTGTGGCCTCCACCCTGATGCCTCCCTCTCCAAAGAGGGGAGCGACATTCTGCCTAATGCCCTTGGGTGGCCCCCAGCTCTGGCCCCCCCCCTGCCCTGGCTGAGGCTGACTCCCGGCTCTTTCCCCAGATCAAGCAGATGTTTGCTGCCTTCCCGCCAGATGTGTGTGGCAACCTGGACTATAGGAACCTGTGTTACGTCATCACGCATGGCGAAGAGAAGGACTAAAAGGTGACCGCCGACGCCCACCCCCACCCCATACACACATTCAGAGGCAGCGAACATGGGGCTGGGGGTGGGGGAGAGGGGCGGCCGTTGAGGAGCCCCTGCAGCCAACGTGTGTGTGTAAGGAAAAGGCTCTCCGGCCTGTGGGTCAGGGGCAAAGTAAGAATAAATAATGTAACAAGGTCTGAGGTTTTGTGATTAATGCTCCGGTTGGGAAGAAAGCTAAACATTCCTATGTTGTTGGTTTTTCCAAAGTTTTTCACTTCCTGGCTTTGCTCAAATGTTCCTGATGAGCTGGTGTTTAGAACTAATTGATCCCCAGCTGGGGCACAGGACACTGTCTTCATTTATGAAGCTTTATTGAGCACCTAGTACGTGCCAGCCCTGGTGCCAGTCCCAGCGACATGGACATGAGCCAGCCCTGTCCCCGGGCGGAAATATCATGCAGTGAGACAAGAACTGGGGTGGGGACACAGTGGGGAGGAGGTGGGAGAGGGCCAGGAGAGACCTGGCAGCTAGAGGCCAGACAGAGGCAAAGAAGGTGGTGGGGGGAGGGGGTGGGGGGGTGGATTCAAGGGATGTTTATGGAAGAGGCAAAGATTTCTTGAACAGGGCACGCATAGCGCCAACCATATAATAAAAGGGCAGAAACTGGACTTCAAATTGAAAACTTCCACTCAGCAAAAGATACCATGAAGGGCGTGAAAAGGCAAGCCCAGGCTGGAGAAGATATTGGCAACAATAGATATTGACAAAGATCTTAAATCCCGAATATACTTTTAAAAAAATCCTACACATCAGGACTTCCCTGGCGGTGAAGTGGTTAAGAATCCGCCTGCCAGTGCAGGGGACACAGGTTCGAACCCTGGTCTGGCAAGATCCCACATGCCGCGGAGCAACTAAGCCCGTCCGCCTCAACTGCTAAGCCTGCGCTCTAGAGCCCACAAGCCACAACTACTGAGCCCGTGTGCCACAAGTACTGAAGCCCGCACGCCTAGAGCCCGTGGTCCGCAACAAGAGAAGCCACCACAATGAGAAGCCTGTGCACCACAACGAAGAGTAGCCCAGGCTCGCCAAAACTAGAGAAAGCCTGCGTGCAGCAACGAAGCAAAAATAAATAAATTAAAAAAAAAAAAAGGATGTAAGGTCCATGGAAGCAAGGGTTTAAAAAACAATCCTATACATCAATAAGGGAAAGATAACCAAAACAGAAAACAGAAACAAGGTAGGTGACGAGGTCAATGGCAGAGCTGGGAGTGGAACCCAGGCAGCATGGCTCTGAGCCTGTGCCCATAAGCTCTACCCCACACTGCTACACCCTGCACTAGGACATGGGGGAGGGGACTGAATTTGGGGTCACAGTGAGGAGGTCCCTTTCCTTGTCCCTTGCCCTCCTGCACTCCATGTTCCCTCTGGGGGAGGTGGGGAGAGAGGCGTCCCCATCAACCTGGGGCTCCCAGGCTCAGGACACGAGGGGCAGGATCTGCAGAGCAGGGCTGGGGAAGGCCCGAGGCAGAGGCAGAGGAATATTCCAAAAGACCCCTCCCTCCTCCCAGGCCTTGCTCTCTCTGCTCTCGAAGAGTTTAGCTTTCCTGGAAGTCAAGGACTCAGCTGCCGAGGAACTCGTCAGACCTGTTTGTGTCTCCAGGAACCAGGCCAGAGTCAAGCTTTTGGAGGGAGTGGGAGCTGTGGCTACCTGCTCTCCCGTCCGGCAGCTCCGGGCTGCCCTACTCCGTGACACCAGGCCTGCTGGCCCTGCATCGGCCTGGCTCCACGAGGACACGGGGTGGCCAGTGGGGAAGGCCGGAGGGGCTCCATGCAGCTCAGGAGGGGAGACTGGGAGCCCTGCCTTTGCTCATTCATTCCTCCGCCCTTCAGACAGCTGTCCACTTACACCCACTCTGTTCCAGGGCCCAGACGCAATCAGTAGCGCCTATCACACCCACCTGGGCTCTGGGTGGGGGACCCACAGGGACAGGAGGCACCAGTGGCCTAGGGCAAAGAAGTCGGGAGGGGAGTGGGGGACCAGTCGTGAGGCTATTGGTGGCTCCAAGACGCTGGCCTCTGCTTCTCTTGGCGTTTTTCACAGCATTGCTTGCTCGGGACCCCCTCCCCCTCCAGCTGGGGCTCATTGGCGGTCTTGGCTGCCCCTGACCTGGGCCTACCACCAGCTTCCTTCAGTCTCCATGACTCTATGTCTAGTTCCCGAGGGACACCTGGGTTGGCACTCCACGACACCTAGGTGGGTTCCTCTGGGTCCTCCTCTGGTCCAGGCAGCTGGGGTGGTCCACAGAGCTGCCCCTTCCAGGGGTGGGGGCTGAGGCTCCTGAAAGCCAGAGAGATATTGACTCCTCCCTCCTGAGTCATCATATCTGGAATCACCTTTTTAAAGGTACAAGAACTACTTGTGGCCTCCCCCACCTGCCCACCTGCCCCTTTACCACCATCTTTATGGTGCTTCCCTGCACAGCCTCATTCAGTTCCTTGAGTGCTCTACATTCCCTCCTGCCACAGGGCCTTTGCATATGCTGCTCCTGTTGCCTAGGATACTCTCTCATTGGATAAGTGCCCAATTACCCCTACTCAGCTTTCTGCTCTCAGCTCCACGTCACATGCCCTGTCCCTGGTGCCTGCAGTAGGTCATATCCCCTTCTGTGTACTTTCATGGCACTAAGTACTTTTGCTGGGGAGATGTACATGACGTTGGCCTTCCCCAAAGAGCTGCAAGCCTGGGATCAGGTTGGATTTTGCCCATCACTCTACCCCTAGCAACCCTCACTGGACCTGGCACAAAACAGACTCTTGGGAAACATTTAACCAACTCCAGGCGGCCCAGAAAGCTGATCTTGAGGTGCATGAGGCCTCTGGAGGTGGCTTCCGTGGCCAGCACTGAGGTCTGGGCCTGCACCCAGGCCAAAGCCACGCCTGAGGCTCCCTGGGACCTGCCTATCTGTCTGGGCCTTAGTCTCCGCATAGGCAGAATGGTACCCTTTCCAGCTCCCCAGCAGCAGCAAACCCTGAGGCCGTGGCCATCCCCAGAGGTGACCTGTCCCGTAAGCTGGCCGGGTTGGCTCTCCCGGAACACTTGGTGGCTCCAGCGCGCCCTGGAGGGTGATGGGCAGCAAGCCCAGGCGTGGCCATGGCAGGTCTCCGTGTCCCCAGGGAGTTGCGTGCAGGGATCCTGCCCTGCCCTGGTCCCGCCAGCTCCCCCAGCCAGCTGGGTCTTATTGAGGGTAATTAACCCAGTGAGACGCCTGGGTCTGGGCCTTTCATTTTCCACTGTGATCCGTTAACTGGGGCCTTCGGACAGTGGCCCCCGTATAAATCACGAGGGGTCACTGTTAAGAGAAATGGCAAATTCCTTCCACCCGTGTGGCTGCCTAAATTGATTCTGAGAGCAGATTCCCTCCTGGCGCTCACTCAAGAATGGCCAAGTCCTTTGAAGGTCTTTCCAGGGTGGACCCGGGGCTTAGAGCCGGCTGGGCGGGGAATCTCTCCGGGAGGCTCTGCTAACCGCGGGCGGGTGGGGCCCCTCCAGGACCTCGTGGCTGCTGGAGAGACCCTGCCTGATGCGGCTCTACCATCACTCTGTCTCCGTGGCAACCCTGGGGGTGACTCTGCACCTCTTCACAGCCAGGAAGTGGCAGGGGTGGGGGGCTGGGGGGACCCAACGGTGTCCTCAGCCAGGAACGGGGGCGCTAGACCTCAAAGCAGTAATGAAACATCCCGGTGCAATTTCAGGCCTGGGGGTGGGGAAGGCAAGCGGTGAGCTTCCGAGGGGACGCCCCAATAGCCATAGAGTCTGTTTGGTAGGAAAACTACTCCATTCCGTCTGTGAGCTGAGCCCTGGGCTGGGCCAAGATTTCAGTCTGGCTGAGGGTTCATCTGGGCCTCCCGGGACCCCCAAGAATCTGTGTCTATTCACCTCTTCCTGTCTGTCTCACACATCCAGCCCTCAAGTCTCACTTGACAAAGGCGAAGGGAAGCTGAAGGTGGGGAGGCCAGGATCAGGGATGAGGGAGGTTGGGGAGTGTCCTGTGAGGCTGCGCATGCAGGGTGGGTAAAACCTATTTTCTTTAAAATTTATGTATTTATTTATTTTGGGCTGTGTTTGGTCTTCGTTGCTGTGCATGGGCTTTCTCTAGTTGCGGCGAGCAGGGGGCTACTCTTCGTTGCTCTGTGTGGGCTTCTCATTGCGGTGGCTTCTCTTGTTGCCGAGCATGGGCTCTAGGTGCGAGGGCTTCAGTAGTTGTGGCACGTGGGCTCAATAGTTGTGGCTCGCGGGCTCTAGAGCACAGGCTTAGTAGTTGTGGCGCAAGGGCTTAGTTGCTTGGCGGCATGTGGGATCTTCCCGGACCAGGGCTCGAACTCGTGTCCCCTGCATTGGCAGGTGGATTCTTAACCACTGCACCACCAGGGAAGTCCGGTAAAACCTATTTTCAAATCCTTGTCCTGGGGCAGAGCGTGGAGCTGGCTCAGGTGTCTCACAAGGCAGAGCCGGGCAGGTGTCTGGAGTACAGGGACCCAGCCTTTGGACCTCTCTGGCTTTCTGAGCCATCCTGGGGACAGGCTCCTCAGTAGGGAGTGAACTACCCGTGACTGGAGGTATGCAAGCCGGAGATGGTGAACACGCAGCAGGGATGGGGCTGGCTGGCTTTTAGAACCTGAATTGCTCCTCAGAGCAGAAAGATAGGGGTGCATAAAGCAGCTAGCTCGTTGCCTGGTGCACAGTGGGGTATCCCTCTCCCCATACCCACGTGGCTTCACTGTGGTCCAACCAGAATCACAGAGCCCAGGGCAGGCTGAGCCAGAAGAACTCTCGGTGAACAGATGAGGAAGCCGAGGCCCAGAGGGAGCTCCCCCTTCCCAGCTCCAGACCTACCACATTCCTTCCGTCTTTCCGTTCACACCCCTGAACATGGTCAGGATCACATTCCTGTCCAGGACCTGTTATTGGGGTGATGGGTTCTAATGCGTGTGTGTCAGTGGGACAGAGCTGGGGG